TTCTCAAGCTTCATCCATGTTATAACAAGTGACAGGATTTCATTCATAATAGGGAGGCCACATAATATATTCCATTGCATGTATACACCACATCTTGTTTACCCATTCATCCATCAATGAACATTTGGGTTGTTTCCACTTCTTGCCTACTGTGAGTAATGCCGCTGTGAACATAGCTGAGCCTGTATCTCTTGACATTCTGTTTTCAGTTCCTTTGAATATATACCCAGAAGGGGATTGCTGATCATACTATTTTTAATTATTTATGGAACCACTATACTGTTTTCCAAGATGGTGGGCATTTTTATTACTAGGGAATATCCTGGACTTCATATAATGCCTGGGCATAAAGTAGACCTTCAGATGCTTTTTGAATACATAAATAATAACAGAAGAGACTGAGGGTAATAAAAGCACAGACTTAGGCCTCTCCGCCATAGCCTTTTTTAGCTAAGTCCAAGTCACAATCATTAAAAGCCCTTATCCAGAGGCCTATCCATTCCATGCTTCAAAGCTGAGACAGAATGAAACACAGGAGCCAAGTGCAGTGGCTCATGCCTGTAATTCCAGCACTTCAGGAGGCTGGGATAGGGGGAACACTTGAGGCTAGGGGTTTGAGACTAGCACGGGCAACATAGCGAGATGCCCTGTCTCTAAAATAAACAAATAAATAAATGTTTGATTAGCCAGGGGTAGTGGCACACGCCTGTGATCCGAGCTACTCAGGAGGCTGAGGAGGGAGAATCACTTGAGCCCAGGAATTCAAGTTTACAGTGACCTATGATCACACCACTGCACTCCAGCCTGGGCAACAGAACAAAAGAAAGAAAAGAAAGAAAGAAAAGAAAGAAAGAGAGAAAGAGAGAGAGAGAGAAAGAAAGAAAAAAGAAAGAAAGAAAGAGAAAGAAAGAAAATTCATTTAAGGATCTTTTAATTAAAACCCTACATTCCTTTTTCTTTTTTTTTTTTTTTTTTTTTTTTTTTGTGAGATGGAGTTTCGCTCTTGTTACCCAGGCTGGAGTGCAATGGAGCGATCTTGGCTCACCACAACCTCCGCCTCCTGGGTTCAGGCAATTCACCTGCCTCAGCCTCCTAAGTAGCTGGGATTACAGGCTCGCGCCACCATGCCCAGCTAATTTTTTGTATTTTTAGTAGAGACGGGGTTTCACCATATTGACCAGGATGGTCTCGATCTCTTGACCTCGTGATCCACCCGCCTCGGCCTCCCAAAGTGCTGGGATTACAGGCTTGAGCCACCACGCCCGGCAAGGAAAATATTAATAAATGAATTATTAGACATGTAATGTTTTGTATGTCCATGTGTTTACTTTTAATATGAAATGGACTAGGTTAAAATAGATGTTCCAATAAGACAGTTTATGTTTCATTTTTCCCTTCAAGTACCCTCAAGGTTATAAGCATCATAAGCTGAGACCAGCTCAATTTTTGGTTTGTGGGTTGGTCAGGCCCTGTGCCTGATTTGATTTCCTCTTGAATGGTCTGCAGCCCTGGACCAAGTTAAAGAAGCCATGGGTCTCACGAGAGCCTCAGCTTTTTTCCTTACCCTGTTACGAGATAAACTCATCCCCTAAATACCCTGCTCATTTGATAAAACTTGTCACCCTTCTCCTTTCTCCTGCTCCCTAATGCTACCTGTAAGGTACAGCTCAAATTTTATACAATTTCCGCCTTTATTATGTAACATATTCCACTGGAATATGTGTTACAGGGAGGAGGTCCCGATCCAGACCCCTAGAGAGGGTGCTTGGATCTTGGGCAAGAATGAATTCAGAGCAAGTATATAAAGTGAAAGCAAGTTTATTCGGAAAGTAAAGGAATAAAGCAATGACTACTCCATAGAGAGAATGTCCCCTTTTTCTTTTGTTCACCTTGTTATAAATCCATTCCCTTCATTAAATTTCCAAATTTATTCTAACAGAATAAGTACTAATGCCAGTTCCAATATTTACTTTCCTGCCCTTTGGGGCAGGACACTTCAATATGTGATCAAAGACCCAGCACACATTAGGAAGCCATCTTTGGTCCAGAACTTCTCTATGTGTGCTATCTTTCAGCACCTCCTCCAAGTCAGGCTGGTATTCCAGGATACAGCACAGATGGCATCCACACCCTCAAAGAAGGCATGCTCAGCAAAAGATCTATCTACCCCAAGAAATTTGTCAACAAGCCACAGAGGCACCAGGGAGGCCTGCAATGCAACCCAATAGCTACTTTCAGAGACACAGACAGAGGCAATTTTTATATGGATGGCTTCCCTTTGAAGATGTGTGGCCAGCTTTTCAAATATGAAGTAAAATGTCTCCAAAGACATCAGGAAGGTGTTTGCCTCCCGCTGTTGGGGATGTCTGCTCTCTCAGAGGCCCTGCTGAAGATAGGACAATGTGGAGAACTCTCTGGTCCTGTGGGCTCTCTCTACGAGATCAGGCATCTGGCTCTATGAACAAAGAACAGATGAGCTGCTTTGGTTCTCCAGTATAGCGGATGACTTGATTCAGTTTGATCTGCATGGTCTGGGCCAGAGAAGCCATCTGCTCAGCCTCTTCACTCTTGGCCACAAGCACAGCAGCACTGGCTCTCCTTTGCAGGACAGCTTGTGCAAGACATTGCAGCCCTCCCTGAGCCTGATGCTCAAAGCATGCTTTGAGGGTGGTGGGGGCCTTTGAACAGAGTTGAGTACAGTGATGTGTGAGTGTGTGTGCCTTTCCCAATGAAGGTCAGTGAAATTTCCCCCTGGGTAACTGTAGAAGCTCAGGGTTGAGTTAGTTGATGAATATCAGGCCTTCCATTATGAACTAACTGTGGGTATGAATGAAATTATATCTGTGTAACCACATATCAGCATCTTCCATCCACATTCTCACAGAATCAGTCAGCAATACAAGAGCCAAAATAAAACAGCTCAGAGAAAGTAAGACTAATTCTTAGTGTGGATCTCAGTTTGCATTCATTTCCTCACACAGACATCCTCTCCTTAACGACCCCTTCTAAAGGACTTTTCATTTCTCCTGGCCTTTTGACTCTCTTCACCAAGCAAACACACAGGCAAAATTCTACAGGAAGTTCCTCCCACACACTAAATTCAAAGAGTACCCTGAAAAAACAAACTGCTTCACCAGTTTTACTTGCGATGATCATCTGGTGTCCCCCACAAGCAGGCACATGAAGATGGTTAATGTTTTGTTTTGTTTTAAGACAAAAAGGCAAGACCTCTTTCAATCTCCTGCCTTTTCGTTAAAAATTTCACTCTATATCTCAGTTTATTATGAGGAAGGGCCTGCTTAACAGGAGTGAGAAAAAAAAAGATAAAAAGAAAAATCACAAAGAAGAATAGACTTTAACATTAGCATTGAATATTTTTGAATATTTCTAGATCTCAGAGCTCTAGCATTGCCCAGTCACTTGGAATGTCTAATCAGCTGCCTACTGCAAGAATTAAGGGGCTGCAAAGCATTCTCGACACACCACTGCAGTGCTCTCTCTTCCATACTACAATGTTTTCCTGCTGTTTCTTACTTAATGAAAATCTACTTCCATAATATCATGATGTGTTTTTCGAGCTGCTCTTTCGCTAAGAGCTGGTGTCCATCCTAGGTGGGGCTAGGAGTCAGAAGATGCATGTATATTCTAGCTCCATAGGCTGTGCGACCTTAGGAAAGTTACCTTCCCTTCCTGTCTCAAGTGTTCTCCTTATAAAACAAGCATGCTGGACTCACCTAATCCTAACTAAGGTCTTTAGTTGCTGTAATTATCTTCGAGTTAATTCATAAGACCAGATCTCACAGGATGCCTGATAAGATGGCCATAACTTGTTATCTTAGAGACTGTTTCTAAGGTAGTAAAATAAATACAATATGGTAAATATTATGAACTCAGCAAGGCATTCCACAAATGTTTACTGAGCCCTTTTAATGTGCTAGAAATTATTATAGGCACAGGAGACAAAGCGAGACAGCTATTATAGGTATTAAAGATGTTGGTTATCGGATCGGCAGCTTGGAGAAAGCATACACAGTACTACGTCATTTCTTACTAGGTAGCTGTCTGTAACTGGAAAGTCTGTGCTTATTATTGATGGCAAATTCTTGACTTGGGCAGGACTGCATACTCTGGCACTTAGGACTTGAATGATGTCCATGAATCTTTTCATGTAGTAATTAAACACATTTCTAGGCCAGGCGTGGTGGCTCACGCCTGTAATCCCAGCACTTTGGGAGGCTGAGGTGGGCGGATCACCTGAGGTCAGGAGTTCGAGACCAGCCTGGCCAACATGGAGAAACCCCAACTCTAAATAAATAAATAAATAAAAACTAAACACATTCCTTAAAATTCTATCTGGGTGGGAGTCACTGCCGCCATCTTAAGACTTTCTGTAGTCTCATTGTGATAGTATACTTCCTGTCTACCTGTCTGAAAAATTACTCTATTACTGGACTTTCTGGTATCTTCCACTTGAAAATGACAACTTAGCCAACCACTACCATTGATCAAGAGGAAATGAAAGTTTCTGTTCTCCTTTCTTTGCCTTATGATTCCCTCTGATGTAAGGCATCTTCATGATCAGACTAGTAATACTGCCTCCTCAGCAGGCTAGTAACTCTGTGCCCCACGAGTTCGTTTGTTCCCTCCTTAGTTATTAACTCAAGTTACCATCTTAGATGGCCGGCTTTTTCATAAAGCCACTAAAGTCCCTCCAAGCAGTCCTAGACTGCTCTCACAGGACACCACCAGGAGAGGTGGAGGTGGAAGGGAGGCTCTGGCTGATTTCCTCTACATCTTGTTGTCTGCTAGGAACAAGGCCTGCTGCTGCTTTTTATCTGTTGATTGGTTGAGACCTTTCTATCTGTTAATTGGTTGGAGAAAAGAGGAAGAAAAATAAGGGATCTTGGTACCTGCCCTCCTCTCACACCGCCGCCCTCCCCCCGCCCCCGCCCCGCCCGGAACACCTTAAAAAAAACAAGTACGTTAAGACGGTTTGCAAGCTTCATTTTTCCCACTGAGGTTTGGAGATTGTCTCATGGGGACCGGTCCCCAGGCTGCCTTTACGAATTGCTCTAATTACGCATGGAGATTTTCCCACAGGTTTGCTCTTCACCCGCTCTCCCCACCCTGCCCGGGTACCTTCCTCCCTGCGATTTCTAAAGGAAAAAGTGTATTCTTGGCAGGGCGCGGTGGCTCACACCTGTAATCCCAGCACTTTGGGAAGCCAAGGTGGGGGGAGGGGGGAATCACCTGAGGGGGTTCGAGGCCAGCCTGACCAACATGGAGAAACCCCATCTCTACTAAAAATACAAAAAATTAGCCGGGCGTCGCGGCGGGCGTCAGTAGTCCCAGCTACTCGGGAAGCTGAGGCAGGAGAATCGCTTAAACCCGGGAGGTGGAGGTTGCAGTGAGCCGAGATCGCGCCGCTGCACTCCAGCCTGGAGGACAGAACAAGACTCCGTATCGGAAGAAAAAAAAAAAAAAAAAGTGTGTTCTTAGGCCGGGCGCGGTGGCTCAAGCCTGTAATCCCAGCACTTTGGGAGGCGGAGGCGGGTGGATCACGAGGTCAAGAGATCGAGACCATCCTGGTCAACATCGTGAAACCCCGTCTCTACTAAAAATACAAAACATTAGCTGGGCATGGTGGCACGCGCCTGTAATCCCAGCTACTCAGGAGACTGAGGCAGGAGAATTGCCTGAACCCAGGAGGCGGAGGTTGCGGTGAGCCGAGATCGCGCCATTGCACTCCAGCCTGAGTAACAAGAGCGAAACTCTGTCTCAAAAAAAAAAAAAAAAAAGTGTGTTCTTAACCTGGAAAACCTCGGTATGTCAAGGCCTGCACTTCGATCTGTCCGAGCCCAGAGGAACCGAGGACTGACTCCAAATACCTGGCTTACCTGACTCCCGGTTCATCTGGGAGAAGCGTTTCCATTCGCGGAACCTGAACTTCAGGTTCGGGGACCCAGAGGTGGCGGTGCCGCTCCCCGCCCCCAACCAGACGAGGGCGTTGTGAGCCGGGGGCCTGCCAGGTGTTCACCCCCATTCGATGCACAGCCTCCATCCCTGGCCGCCTGGCGCCCCAGGGATGGACAGACAGACGGACAGCCCTGCAGCCACAGAGCAGAACCGGGCGCGACGCACAGCAGCCACCGCGCGGGCCCCGGGCCTCCATTCGCCACCCTCCCTCTCCCCACCTCCCAACCTTGCTCCTTCTTCAGCTCCCTTCCCCTAGCTTCCTCCAAGCCTCCTTCACTTCCTCCTCCTCCCCGCTTGCTTCTCTCTCTGCCCCTCCCCTGCCCCTTTTTCTAGGATTTACGCCTTAGGGAAGTTTCAAAAAGGGTTCGAGGAACTCCCATCTCCCCTTTCCCCAGATTGACTAATTGTTTCCTTTCTCCCCATATTCAGGCGCTTTTAATAACTTCAGGGATGGTCCCTCTCTCACTTCCCAAGACACCAGAAGGGTGTGTCCGCATCACCTGTTGTTGAGGGGCCTGCACTTCCAAGGACAGAAAGTTGACTTTAAAGTATAGTCATCGCATGACTGCAGGTTATCATTTTTGGATCCTAGATACCTGGGCTACTGATCTTGCTGCTATTAACACCTGAAATGAATGAGTTGAGCAAACTTATTTCAAGTTGACTCTTAGCTGAAAGCATATCCTCGCAAAAAGGAATTGATCTGAAAGCATATCCTTGCAAAAAGGAATTGATCAGGGTTAGGTAAGGGGAAAGGAAGAAATGAGAGAAAGAAAAAAGTATCCAATCTAAAAAACAACAGCAGAACCCTTAAACCCTATGTTCTGGTTTTCCATTGCCTCTCCTTGTAGTAAGGATTTCCCTGAGTGATTACAAAACAAAATTCACAGATCTGATAGTCCTTGGTGTGGGCAGTTGGCTGCTGTTTTGACTGGTAGAGAAATAAATGCTTAAATTCAATTGTAACAAGATTATTCTGGCTTTCTCAGCAGGCTTCTTGAGTTGTTGCTTCTACAACCAGCTGTGTAGCCTCCAGAGTCCTTTCTCTGTAAGGGAGGATGTGGACTGCGAGACCATTGGCACCTGCAACACCGAACACCCAGAGGGCAAGCTCATGGCTTGTAGACTGAATTCTGCCAGGGTACCTGTTTTGTTGTAATTTTTTAAATTGCTGGGTGCGATGGCTCACGCCTGTGATCCCAGCACTTTGGGAGGCCAAAGCAGGCGGATCATGAGGTCAGGAGATCTAGACCATCTTGGCTAACACGGTGAAACCCCATCTCTACTAAAAATACAAAACATCAGCTGGGTGTGATGAGCCTCTAGTCTCAGCTGCTCAGGAGGCTGAAGCAGGAGAATCACTTGAACCCAGGAGGCTGAGGTTGCAGTGCGCCGAGATCGCACCACTGCACTCCAGCGTGGGCAACAGGGCGAGACTCCCTCTCAAAATAAATAAATAAATAAATAAATATAAAATAAAATTTGTTGCTAACATTAAATTTTAGGAGATTGCTTACAAAAATCTGGATTTGCAGCCTTTTGGAAAAAAATATGCTTTTTGTCAACACTGGGCCGCATATCAGCAAAAGATCATTATTAGACACATAGACACAGTTCTTACCAAGCCAGATTCACACGTTGCTACTGCCAGATCCCTTTAGGCCTTTGTGGATGGGGGATTCTGCTCCTCCTCAGCTCTAACTCCTTGATAGTAGGGGGGAGAGAAATAATAAACAAGTAAACAAATGCATACAATTTTTTTTTAAATGACAATATGTTCTATGGAAGAAATAAAGCGGCCTGGTGTGGTGGCTCATACCTGTAATCCCAGCACTTTGGGAGGCCGAGGCGGGTGGATCACCTGAGGTCTGGAGCTCGAGGCCAGCCTGACTAACATGGAGAAGCCCTGTCTCTGCTAAAAAATACAAAAACCCGGGCACTGTGGCTCATGCCTGTAATCCCAGCATTTTGGGAGGCCAAGGCAGGTGGATTACCTGAGGTCTGGAGTTCAAGACCAGTCTGACCAATATGGAGAAACCCTGACTCTACTGAAAATACAAAATTAGCTGGCATGGTGGCGCATGCTGTAATCCCAGCTACTCAGGAAGCTGCGGCAGGAGAATCGCTTGAACCAGGGAGTTGGAGGTTGCAGTGGGCCGAGATTGCAGCCATTGCACTTCAGCCTGGAAGACAAGAGAAAACTCCATCTCAAAAAAAAAAAAAAAGAAAGAAAGAAAGCAGGGAACTGAGACAGAGGCAGCACTCTAGTATAGGCAGGATAGGTGATCTGGGAAGACTTCCCTGTGGAGGCGACTTTTTTTTTTTTTTTGGAGACAGCATCTTGCTCTGTCACCCAGGCTGGAGTGTGGTGGTACAATCACAGCTTACTGCAGCCTTGAACTCCTGGTTTCAGCCAATCCTCCCACCTGAATTTCCCAAGTAGCTAGGACTACAGGTGCATGCCATTGCACACAGCTAACTTTTGATTTTTTTGTAGAGATGGGGTCTTGCTCTGTTGCCCAGGCTGGTCTCAAACTTCTGGACTCAAGCAGTCTCCTACCACCACCTCCCAAAGTGTTTGGCAGGTGTGAGTCACCATGCCCAGCCTGGAGGTAACCTTTAAGCTGAGACCTGAATAGTGAGATGCAGCTGGACTAAGCGTATCTGGGAAGAGTGCTCTATGCAGGAGGAACAGCAAATGCCTTAACACTGATGCCTCTTTGAACCATTAGCCACAGGGATGAATATCTAAAAGCCTTCTAAGAGTTAGGTGGTATATCATTTTTACATATAAGTAGCATGGTCCCTGATGTTCAAGGCTATTTATAATGTGGCTATGCATCTTACTTAACTGACCAAATGAGTATGTCTATAATTTAGCAATCCTTTCCTTTAATAGAGACGAGGCCCTCTCCCCTATATCCAACATTCATTCCTGACTCTGATTTTTTTTTTTGCTCTTCTCTCACTTGAAATATTATTTCCCTCTTTTCTCCTTCAAGGTTTAAAGTTCTAGCTCCCTCATTAAGAAAGATTCTTCAGTTGGAGCTGTTTTAGTACCTTGACTGCAATCATGGATAGGTAGCACCACATACGTGATAAAATTGTATGAAACTTAATACAGACATATACACACACACACACGAATACAAGTAAAACTGGGGAAATTGGAATAACATCAATGAGTGTGTCAACGCCAATACTCATTGATGGTACTATTATACTACAGTTTTACAGTTCTACAAAATATAACCACTGGGGATACTGAGCTAAGTGTACAGAAGATCCCTCTGTTTTCTTTCTTTCTTTCTTGTTTTTTTTTTTTTCCAGAATCTCGCTCTGTCACCAGGCTGGAGTGCAGTGGTGCAATCTTGGCTCACGGCAATCTCTGCCATTCTCCTGCCTCAGCCACCGGAGTAGCTGGGATTATAGGTGCACACCACCACACCCACCTAATTTTTGTATTTTTAGTAGAGATGGAAGTTTCGCCATGTTGGCCATGGTCTTGATCACCTGACCTAGTGATCTGCCTCATGATCAGCACTCAGCATTCCAAAGTGCTAAGATTACAGGCATGAGCCACCGCGCCTGGCCTCTATATTATTTCTTATAAGCACATGTAAATTTATAACTATATCAAGTTTTTAAAATGAATAACCAAAAAATTATATTTCTCATGGAAACAGTCTTATTATTTTCTATTAATTTTTTGAAATAGATTTTTCAATTGCTTCATGAAAACAAGGAAAATGCATTGTCTAAATAAAGCCATACTGATCTTTTATCTTATGAGAAATGGAAGTTAGGTTCATCTGGAATAATCTCTTCTCAGTGAAAACTTGCTGGTGCCTAGCAATGACGTCTCCTTTTTTATGTTTATAGGATGCCCTTCAAGAACTTTGCCCAGAACTGGCGTCTATGGTTTGCAGAATCAACCTTCTTCCCCTTTTCACAAAATGGAACAGTGTGTACCCAGTCAGTCTGCTGGCGCCTTTCCCCGGCCCCACAGTCGCTGAGAAGCTGCCAACAGTATTCTCATATATAAATTCTATTGGTACCCCAGCCGGAATTTGTCCAAGCTTGGAGACATAAGCTCATTGAAAGCCAGGCATTCTCGTACAATGCCCCACTTATTTTGTGCTTCAATGTCTTCCTACTGATGTTTGTGTGAAGAACATTCAACTTTAGAAAAGTTGGAGCAGGGAAGCTGGTGTTTAGAGGTGGAAGCCAATAAGTTCCAGATTCTTTCATTCTCCAGAGGTTTGATCTTGCGCTAGGTTATCCAGTTCTTTGAACTTCAGTTTGCTTATTTGTAAGATGGGAATAATAATCACTATTATTATTACTATTAGGTTTCAGGTTGTAGTAAAGATTGAATATGATAATATATGTAAGAATGCAGAGCACGAATGGATAATAACAACAAAGCAGATGAGATGAACAGAACTGCTTCCTCATAGATACGGGGATTTATGGGATTTTGGAGTTGGAAAGCACTAGAGAGTCACCCAGTCCTACCTCCTACTCAATGGGAGCGGTACTCATGAGCCAGCACATTTCAGCATGAACCAGCTTCTCTCTGTCACCCATCACTATCACATTCACGCCTGAGCCCATCAAAACCTTTTTTTTTTGAGACGTAGTTTTGCTCTTGTTGCCCAGGCTGGAGTGCAATGGTGCAATCTCAGCTCACCGCAATCTCCATCTCCTGGGTTCAAGCAATTCTATTGCCTCAGCCTCCCGAGTACCTGGGTCTACAGGCGCGCACCACCATGCCCAGCTAATTTTTGTATTTTTGGTAGAGAGGGGGTTTCACCATGTTGACCAGGATGGTCTCGATCTCTTGACCTGGTAATCCACCGGCCTCGGCCTCCCAAAGTGCTGGGATTATAGGCGTGAGCCACCGCGCCCTGCCCAAAACCTTTATAAGGCCTTTTCTCTGTGCCAGTACTTTAAACCCTCTATCTTATTAATCCTTACAACAACCCTGTGATATAGTTTTAATGTTCATTTGACAGCTATGGAAACTGAGGCTCAGAGATATTAAGTAACTTATCTAAGGCTACACAGTTAATAAACAGGATTCAGCCCAGGTCTGTCTATATCCAATGGTCCTATATTTTCTGCAATATTACATTGCCTTTAAAAAAACCGTGCTTATTTTTCTCAAGCGGCTCATTCTTGGCTTTATCCGTTTTGACAGCTGTCCTGAAAGTCCCTCTTTTAAGTGTCCCTCTTTTAGGTCTATCCTTCTGCTATGCACTGAATAGTGTCCACTGAAAATTCATATGTTGAAGAGAACTTTAATGCCCAATGTGATAGTATATGGAGATGGGGCCTTTGGGAGGTATAGGATTAGATGAGGTCTAACAACAGGACTGTCACACTGAAGTCAGTGCCCTCATAAGAAGAGGCACCAGAGAGCCAGGCACAGTGGCTTGCCCCTATAATCCCAGCACTTCGGGAGGCTGAGGCAGGCAGATCATGAGGTCAAGAGAGTGAGACCATCCTGATCAACATAGTGAAACCCTGTTTCTACTAAAAATACAAAAGTTAGCTGGCGCACATCTGTAGTTCCAGCGTCTCAGGAGGCTGAGGCAGGAGAATCGCTTGAACCCAGGAGGTGGAAGCAGTGAGCCAAGATCGCACCACTACACTCCAGCCTGGCGACAGAGCGAGACGCCTTCCACAAAAAAAGAGGTATTAGAGAGCTCGCTCCCCCATAGCCCAGCATACAAACAGGTGGTCATGTGAGTAAACAGCAATGGCAGCCTCCCATAAGCCAAGGGAAAAGGCCTCAGGATGAGACCTGCCTTGCCAGCACCTTGATCTTGGACTTTCCAGCCTGCTAAATTATAAAAAACAAATTTCTGTGCCTTGTCATCCAAAAGTCTATGGCATTTTGGTATGGCAGCCTGGGCAGACTACGCCACCTTCACTGCATCTACATTCTCTTTTTCTCAACTTGGTATTTTTCAAATCTGAGCTGACTAATGAGTTTGCATTTCAGCCTGACGGGTCTCTCCAGCTCTCAATTTCCTGCCCCCTGTTGTTCATTGTATCCTCAGTATTCAGTTTTTGACAGTTCTCTTATTCTCTGGAGACATTCCCCTGCTTAGTGTCTCAGGCCATGTAATCAGATCTGTGATTTTTCTCTGAATGGTTTGACATTTGCCTTTATAACATCTGACAGTGTCCATTCTTGCGTACTCCAAACTTTAAAAAGATATAAATCTGCTCAGTTCTGGGGCATAGTGGAAAAAAAAAAGAGAGAGGAAGAAGGCATGGATACTTTTACCTAGGCTTCTAGTCCTTTAAGTTGATCACACTAGTTGCTGATTGGAGAAACTTTGGGGTCCAAGTTATGCCCTGACTACAGTGTACTTTTACTCCCCCTGCTTCCTGGGAGCTGCATTTGTTGGCCAGGCAAATCAA